GTGTGTGTGTGTGTTNTNTNTTTTTTTTTTTTCAGAAGAGTGGCCGCGGAAGGAATTATTTGAAATTCACCGGCTTCGTCCGCGGGAAAACATGGAATTTTATTTCGATCCCGTTTTTCCGACCAACGCTCGTCGAGTTGCTTGCTTTGCAAACTCAATTACGTTATCCGTTATTCCAAAATAATCGGCTGATTCGAGCGCGGCTCGATTTACACTTGTTGGGACAAAAAGTGAACGGACGAAGAAAAGGAAAGAACGATCGTGAAGATCGATAAAATTGGTTATCGTCGTTTACGATTTACAATTCGCGCGACACGAATGTGAGTTGAATTTTCTTCTTCGAGGAGGAAGAAGAGGAGGAATGTGAGGTGTAACAGGAATTTATTTTTCGTTTCAATTACAATTTCAATTACAATCGTGTTCTAATAATAAGTCTATTCGCTCGCTTCTATTCCCAGGAATGTAAAGTAAAATTTAATTTCGAATTGCACTGTATCTGGAATGCGTTGAAGCCAAAATTTTATTAAAAGAACGGAGGGGAAATGGAATGAAAAAAATAAAAGTTTCTCAAGTTTCCCGACAACAAATAATTTATAATATTGATTCATTCGAACAAATTATATATTACAGAGAAATATTCAAAGATTTATCGTAATTACATACAAAACGTTGAAATTAAATAATATTTTCCATCTTTTCCATTATTTAGGAATTTGTTTGTTAATCCACCATTTTCCCTTTAATCCTGCAACAGTCGTGCAATAAATATTCTGCTATAATCGAAAGAATTGCACGAGGTAAAATATCTTCTTTTCTAAAATATCGAGTATCGTAAATTGAGAAACAATTACACATTTTTCCCGATCTAAAATACCAACTATAAAATAAAGAGAAAGAGTTCAGATCCAATGGAGGAGCTGCTCCGGTATGTATGCTATGTAAAATTTCGCTCGTGTAAACGGACGAGAACTGCAAACTAATTTCTCTCGCGATGTTTTCGCGACCGGGGGAGATGATCAAGTTTGAAAGTTGCACACGAGAGTCGAAAAAGTTGGTCGTGTATCGCCGGCTAATATACGCGGCAAGGAAGAAGCACTTAGATTTTGAGGGCGTATCGAACGCATCGGTGGCCTAGTTCGAGATAGTAATAAAACGAGAAAAAGCGCCAGAAATTATTACCTCCCCTCCCCTCCATCGCTTCCCAGGGATACTAGAGAATTTCTCCAACACTGTTTTATAAACACCCCGCAAAATTAAGTCCAAGTTGTTCTACTTAGGAATAAATCTTTCCTAAATAATTCATATATATATATATATATATATATTATTTTATTTAAAATGCAAGGAACTAAATTTTCTAGATTTGCATTGTTCCACGAATCTTGATTGAAATTTCTCCTCTTGTCAATCGAAGTTTTAAAGATTCTTTTTTTATTCTACTTAATAAGAATAAAAAAAGAATCTTTCATTTCATTTAAAAAAAAGGTAACAAAATATAAGCAAGGAACATTTTCTAGATGCATTGTTCCACGAATCTTGATTGAAATTTCTCCTCTTGTCAATCTCTCCTCTTATCTTGTCGATTTTATTTTAAAGATTTTATTTTATTCTACTTAAGATACGCAACGAACATTTTCCATTCCAGATGCAATTCCATTGGTCCAATTTCGAAATGAAATTTCTCCTATTATCAATCGAGGATCTAAAGATTTTATTTTATTCTACTTAAAAGAATAAAAATTTCTTCTAAATAACTTATACGCGTATATGTATCATTTCATTTCAAAAAAGGTAACAAGATAGGCACGTAACAAGGAACATTTTCCATTCCGGATGCAATTGATTGAAATTTCTTTATCAATCGAGCCTAAAGATTCTATTTCATTCTATTTAAGACACGCGAGGAACATTCCCTCGAGATGCAATTGGTCCAAATTTCGATTGAAGTTTCTCCCGTTATCAATGGAGGAGCCAAAGACGCCAGAAGAGAATCCATCGGCGAACAACATACGGCCGGATGTGGCCGCGTTCCGCAACACATGCTCCACTGTAATTCCGAATCGCGGAATGCTGAGCGCCACGTAGGCGTGCGTAGAACAGATACACGCTAAATACCGTATAATACCTGACATGCATAGAGTCGGTTCTGCTGGCTTCCTCTCCTCGCCATTCACCGCCACGCATAATCGGCCAACGGGGTACCGCCATGCCCGCATACTGGTCTAATTGCATACATTAGGGGGGAGAGCCAAATCTCTTCCCTCGCCGTCTCTCACGGGACACCGGTCCTTTTGTTCCACCGTTTTATTCCTACGATCCTGAAAACAATGTGTACGTTTCTCTGATACTTTGAGAGTTTGAATAAAAAGGGGTGGGTGATTGTGCAACGAATGTGCACGTGTGTATGTACGTACGCAGATATTTCGTTATATATGGAAGAGATTAGAATCAGTATTGAACCAATTCATAAATTATCTTGAATTTTAATCTAGTATTAACTACTCGTTGAAACCGCGTTTTACATTGACTTTTGATTCATGAAGCAGGTTAAATCTTCCGTTCGAAATCTCCGAAAATTAAATTAAATTTCAATTTGGATGGAATTGGTAAAATAGTTCGACAATTTGGGGAGTCTCTTTATCGTCTCAACTTGACAAAATCGAACGATAAATAAGATATTCTCGTGAGAGTCATTTCTTTGAATATACACACGTTGCAAGAGTTTGTATATTAATATTCCAAAGACGTTAGATTCAATGGAAGAACTACTTAAAAAGTTAGATTATAAAAGTTTACATTGCTATCCCGTGCAATCGATCATCTCGTAAAACGGTATTCCGAGAGTGTTTCGATCTAGGTATAAAAATTCTCACGGTTCGATCTCGAGTAAATTAATCGTATTATTAAGAAATTTCAGTAGAAATCCAAGAACAAGCATCGAACACGAGGGTTCGTTTCTCGATCGCCAAATTTTATCCCCCCCCCCGCCTACTATATTTCAACAAGCAAGCACAGCTCCGAGCTGTTTAGACAGCTTTCCACTCGCCTCTATTCGTAACGCAACGACGACCGCGTATTCAAATTCAAATTCGATAGATTTATTTTAGAATCACGTTGCTTCGCCTCGTCCGCCCGCTCTCTCTTCTTTTCCTATTTGTCTGCATTTCACCCTTCCTGTTTCCACCTCCCTCCCTCTGTCTCCCTCCATTCGATCCTGCGTGTAGCGGCAACGAACCATCCTGTTACCGCTGCACGTGAAATCCTGAGTTATGTTCGACTGTATCCGACCGGCTGGATTTCCACGATTCGACGTCCTCCTCTTAACGAACAAGACTTAGACTTTCGAAATCTCTTTTCTTTCTTCTTTTCTTCTTTTTTTTCATAGCTGGATGAATTTGTTTAATTTTTCAATCGTTGATGTATGCAATCGCTTGATAAATTGGATTGGTTTTATTTTTATTGGTTCTATCAGGGAGGATATTCTTGCAATTTAAAATTTCCCTTTGCGCGGAGACGTTCGATCAATACCTGAATTT